GACTGCTGAAGCGACATTCAAATGGTGGGGTTCCCAGTGAAATGCGATTGGTTGGATTAACTGGAAGTTACAGCGAATTCATTTGAAATTGCAAAACTATATATGATAGTTTCCCCTAATGGGTTCAATAATAAGATCACTGAGGTTTAGTCCCCGAATAATGGGTTCAGGGGGGACGTGGTTAAAATCACCAACTATCATGTGCAAGCTGTCAGTCAGCAAGAGATGGAACGATAACCGGTAGGAAAGGATCATAAATGTGTCAATATCTGATAATCTTATAACGGAGTGCAATGTATAAATTAGTGATGGCGATAAAAGGAAAGCGGAAAAATTTGAGGTGGCAATAGACAGTCAGGCAATCGCAATGCATTTTGTGCATGCTTGAAAATTGCTTTGGATTTCCTGCGTCACTTGGAGTTGATGTAGGCAATGACATCACCTCCCAGTTTCTTCCGGCACGGTTACCTATCCCGTATGAAGTGGACGAAACTATCCAGTTGGAGCACGAAATCATCCAAATCACCATTGAGCCCTGACAAGAGATACGAAATTCCTTGCACTAGAGCAGGTAGGAATAATCCGGAAGCTTCCCAAACAAAGAACGGACATTGTTACTCACACACTGATAGGTACAGGCATCATGCCGGAAGTAGTACGATTAAGGGCAGTTGGTCAACCGGCACGAATGCGTTTGCCCCACCTGGAGTATTTGTGCGTTTGACTAGAGACTGGCACTCCAAACATGGCAGTACTGTTTTTCATAACAACCTACCTAATCTTTACCATGAATTTTTTTTGGTATATGGCTAAAACACACCACATATTGAGCAATGCGGTCGACAAATTCCAGATTGTGACAAATTGTAGCGCAGCCGTTCAAGGGGTGTGCGTGAGTTAAAATAAAACACGAGCACTACTACTACGATTAATTTACACTTCACATACATTCGAGGTGAGTTCCCGATGAAATGTTGCTGCAAACTAGAAGGAACTGATTATATGCTGTGCTATAAAACAGAGTTCACTTCAAGTTGAAGTCATCTCCCTCCGTCGGGTCGTATGCTGGGTGAAATGCCGTCCAACTTTCGTTTTCCCATTAGAATTAAGCGGTTATTGTTCCATGGGTATCTTTTATTTCTCGTTTGAATTAAATGCTTCAATTTAATGGTTTTATCTTCCCTATGCTTATCATTCTAATCCGTCCCTACATTTTCCTTCCTCAACCCAACCGCAAAAGGTTGGCGTGGAACCAGGCAAATCCCGCGCGGCTCAACCACCACATGAACTGCGTCGATCTCATCCGTCACACGAGAATGGATTACATCGATTAAGTCATACAGATACGGATGATCTGTTGCCCATCAGTATCGAATTACGTGGGACTGACAATTCCAGCAAAGTCAGTTTGCTCGATCGATACGTGTATTTGGTAGATCAAGTTCTGGTCAGCGCGCGTGCCGAATTGGAAACTATTGTCAGTCGAAAAAGGGCGGACAAAGGAACCACATTCACACTTTCTCCGGCCTATGCATTCTATCTTGTCTATCGGGCATTCCAAAAACAATTGACTTCTCTGACTGGAATTAATTCAGCAGAGAAAGATCACCAAATTTCCTACATCACGAATTATATTGCGACTCGGGTGTACGAGGTTAGTAATATTTTGCTTTTGTCGTGTGCCTACTCATGAGTAGTAGCTGCAATTCTGTGCACATCAATGTTGATACGCTCGAGATTTCAAAACCACCGTGATCATTGGTACGATATTCCGTCAAACAATGAATAAATTTTTATTATTTCATTCTAATATAGTGATATATATTTTTTATTCTCCTTTAGTCCCTCCCAAGTGCCGCGCGTGAGGAAAGTGGAGCACAACTGGAACATCTATATCCCCTAGTCTATTGGTTGGCCAATAGCAGTGAATTGCTTCACTTTTTCAAAAATGACATTCAACTTTGCTCCCCGGACGCTTCCGCTACGCCCGGTATCCGATCGGTGAAATTGCCTCACTCCCCGGTTCATGTGTCACGACAATCACTGCACCTGCTGGCCGACTGTGTGGATCACTGTTTTCATCAGCTTCGTCTATGCATGACTGCACTGATGCACCCGCTGCTGTGCAGTCTCATTTATCCGGGTGACTTGGACCTGCAGGTAGGCATACTGCCTTTAATTTTCTCGGTTGTCATTCTTATCAAAATCTGTGTATACATTTGATTCCAGGACTAGATTCGATTTCCCTTACGTAGTAGGTTAACGAACAATTGAAAGATTTTTGAATGGCCCGCGCTTATCTTGTCCCAAGACTTGGGCATATGATGGAAGTGG